TGTTCCTGAGTTTGGGGGTACTGGAGTCCCCTTGAGGTGGTTTCTCGGTTCTTTCTGTCCTGAGCAAAGAATTGGTCAAGACAAGTGGAAATGGCAGTAAAAGGGTTTTACTTTTATTAAAGGTAGGAGAAGAAACAGGCTCTGCAGAGCGAATTAGGGCCCCTTAACTGGGGAAAGAAGTACGCCCAGCCTGAGGGTGGACCACTGTGCAAGAGAGCTCAGTGGCAGCTTTCCTTTTTGTATCTCCCACTCCTCCGGCTGACCCGCTCCTCGGGTCTGGGCCATCCTGTCAAAAACCTGCTGGAGTTTTCAAGAGAGGTCCACACGCAAGACTTTGGGAACTGTTCTGCGCCTGTGTCCTGGCGCTTTGAAATTAACAGGTCACACTCCCTTCCCCAGCCAATCTGCCGTGCCCTAATCTACTGCTTCAGTGTGGTTTCCGTCGTGATCTTCCTAAGTCACGTTGGCAGCCTGGATGTGTGACTCCTGGCCTCTGGTGGCCTCTCTGGGCCTAGGCCCCCTCCAGTGAAAATTAGTGACACTGTGTTTCTGCTGTTATTTATTCCCCCGAGAGTTCTTGACCAAAGGGCTTTCTTCCTTTGCCCAGATCGGTCCTTGTGTCCGATATGGCCAGGTGCTCCAGATATTCCAGCATGGGCCCGACCCCCAATACTTAATCTGCCTTCTTTGTGAATGAATGTATGGTCCTCTTTGTACTGAGCAGGGGGACATGGCAGTGCGTACAGCAGGTGGGCCCTTCCTTTGTGGTGCTTGCTGTGTCGTAGGATCACACATTCCAACTCAGGAGTTGGAAAACACAGTCCACTGCCACTGGCCTCACTAACCCAGGCTCTGCAGGGGCCAGCGAATCCCTGACAGCAGGGACTGAGATGGGACTCACTTTTCTATAGTTGCTCCTCCTGTGCAAGTTCTTCAGTGGCTTTCTGCTAATTGTGCCACTGGATGACTTTAGAGATAGGTTTCAGGCTGTGCATTCTCACAGGAAATGCCCGTTGGGAGGGTTCTTGTGTGTGTGCTTGTCATACCTGTTCTTGGCCCCAATGTCTGTTACTTCGGGAAGGCCTTTTCGGTTGTTGTTTCCCTTTCCCTTCTTTGGTAATAACTTTCTTTCCATTCCAGCATTTATTAGGCTTAGGGCACTTGAAAGGTGACACTACCTGCAGTGGGTCCTAGTCTCCTGGGAGCCAACACCATGTCCGAGAGACAGGAAAGGGGGAAATAAAGACACACAGACATAGGCTTGAGAGAAACTGAGTCTTGGGCTAATCTAAGCTGCTCTGGGCAGCAAAAACAAAGGACTCTGGGACAGCCAGTGTTTATTCATTACAAGTGTGGGAAGGGGAAGCCGGGCAGGCCTCGGGACACCTGCTGATAACAAGTGTGGAGCAGGCAGGACTGTAGAACGAGGGCACTAGCATATCTTTGCTGAAGAGAACAAAGGTTTAATTCAGAGGGGAAGAATATAGTTAGAGTCAGTTGACCTTGGCTGGAGATGAACTCAGCTGAGCCCTGCTACTTCCAGTGTAACACAGCCGAATTATGGAGGGGCGGAAAGCTTGTGCCACTATAGCCTGCTAGCACTGGGCAGAAGGATCTGCTACAATCGGCGCTTTTGTTTTCAAGGAGATTTGCTTGGTGTTGTTTAATTCCCAGAAGGCGCTTGTCATAGGTCTCATATATATATATTAAAAATTCGAGTTTTTAAAACATTAAGCAGCACTATAAGGAAGGTTAAAAACAAACCTCTTAATTATGGAGCATTCAAACTTGCACAAAATGAAGGCTGAATTGTGCCCCTTACCCAGCCTGAGTAGCCTTTCCCCACCCTGTGTGAGTAAATAAAAGAGGCCATAAATATTTTTGCATGTTACTCTCAAAGATTCTTTCTTAATCCTATCACAATACTTTTATCATGCCTAAAACTAATATTTATCTTACAGAGAGATATTTTAAAGGATACCAGAGGAGAAAAATTCAGCCAAATATATCAGCTCTTATTTTTCCCATATTCTCCAATTTTAGGTCGCAAGCATACTGACATTTTGTAAAAATAGCAGTCTCTGCTCCTTGGAGCTTCTCTGGATACAAGTTTTGCAATTGGGGTGAACATCACTGCTCCACCCCTCTATCTAAGAGGAACAAAGAAAGGTGTCCCTAGGCTGGACCACATGAGGAGCTCTGGGTGATTCCTGATCCACCTCTAGCTCCGAAAGCACCCTAATCACTTAGCAAATATTTACCGAGAACGTCATTGTGTGTCCCTGTCTGCCAGATGCTGAAGATTGTAGTGGGAAAGGAGACAAACAAGACCCAGACTTCCTGGAGCAGAGGATATTGGCAGGGAGCAGGGCAGGCTGCTCCGATTGTCCTGGGACCCAAAGGCTGGGCTCTCAGCATCCCTACCCCTTGAGTGGGTTTTCTGTCCTGCTCCTCAGCTAGTCTGGATACACTGGAGATAAGGAAGGAGCTTAGATTGGGAAAGACAAAGATAGGAACTCGAATGCTGCCATCCTCCACATCGTATTTAGACAGTAGGGTTGTGATGAAGACTAAAGAAAATACTGTGTAATAAAATTCCTGGACAGCAAACATCTCTCCTCTGCTCTGTCTTCGTAAATATTTCCCTTCCCCTCCCGTTCCCCTTCTGTAGCCAGTAGCTCCAGAGTTTAGATCTTAGCAACTCAACAACTTTTATTTTTATGGTTTCTTTTTTAAAAAAAAAATAAAGAACAATTTATCAAGTCAACATTTGGATTTTGTGCCCTCCCCCATTAAAGAGTAAAAGAACCGAGAGGAGAAAATGACATCCCATTGTACTGAGGTCAGTAAGGTTTTGATTGCATCTTTCTGGACGTTTCGCACAAGCACACATATTTTTTATTGTTGCTGTTGTTTTGAGAGAGGGTCTGGATGTATCTGCCAGGCAGGGCTCCACCTTGGGACCCTCCTGCCTCAGCCTCCTCCCAAGTGCTGGGATTGCAAGCATGCACCGCCATGCCTGACTAAAACACATACATTCTTAAAAACAAAAAGTGGGAATGTGAAATTTGCTGTTTGCCCTCAGCAGTCTTCATGCCCGTGACCCCCGCTCCAGCTCCCCTCAGACAATGCTCTGCACACCCGGACTTTGTCAGTCATCAGCCTTGGCTTGTTTTTCAGGAACTGGGTGGAGTCCTTGTTCAGAGAGGGAGCTTTTGTTTCCGGGTGTGTGAGGAGGCTCTTGGAGCTTTACTTTAGCTACCCTTTAGCTACCGAGGGCCATGTGACAGCCCCCTGCTCCAGACTTAGGGGCACATTTCAGGAGTGGCTGTGGATTCTGTGGGACCCCGGGGCCGTAGTCATGGTGCCAGTACTTGCCAGGAGCATGGGGGCCGAGACCCTACAGTTTTAGCTCCTCCTGCACAAGTGCAGAGGATGTGATTCAATGGCTATGTTTTCTTCCTTATAAATATTTCTAAGGTTAAAAAAAGAATTCAAACAATGTAGAAGAGTGTAAGGAAAAATGAAAGTTGTTCCAGTCCCCAGCATCTCTGTGGACCCCCAATGGCCCCTCCCCGGAGTCACTCCTGTTAATAATTCATCATGCATCTTATTCAAGGCTTTAAAAAAGTTTACACACCTGTAATCCCAGCACTCGGGAGGCTGAGGCAGGAGGATTGCCATGAGTTAAAGGCCAGCCTGGTTATATAGTGAGACTCTATCTCAAAAAAACAAAAAAGGAAACTTGAAAAATGTTTACAAACTTTGAGTGGGATCATAAAGTACTTATTATACTCCTATAATGAATGACTTTAAAGTGCAGATTACAGTTCTGAATGTCAAAAAAAATTTCTGTGCAGACAGAAAGAATGTGCAAAGTTGGTTAAAAAGCTAGCAGAAAAGTCTATGCCTTGGGGTTCAGCATCTGCAAGGGCCTCACTGAGGTGCCAGGGCGCCCCCAGGGGAGGCCAGGAGGAGGCCAGGGCCTCCTGTCTGTGGGCTTGGCTTCTTTGTTGCCTCCAACCCCTCCATGTGGAGTCCCCCATTCTGTCCCCCAATAGCCTATAGCGGACACACCCTGCAGTAAAGAGGAGGAGGTGGCCTTAGTGTTGCACAGGGCTGGCTGGGATTAAATGTGTGATCCTAAGCGAGTTCTTTTACCACTCTGAACTTCAGTTTCCTCAGCTAGAAGGTGGAGAAGAAAATTGCTGTTAGAGTGACTGTGAACAGCAAATGCGCTCAGGAACACCTCCAGGCTCCAGTGGGTGCGCCCCAAACCTTAATTTCCCCTTTTCTGGCTTCCCAAGCCTTCATTCCAGACAAATGTATTGTGACCTGGACTCGGCATCCTTTCTCAAGGGTATTTGTGTGTCAACAGTGATCCAAGCTTTAATTGGCATAATTAAGGCTCAGCTTGCAGGAACAGGAAGATTCTTTGGGACTCGAGTCATGCAACCTGTCTGGCTTTTCAGAAATATTTCATGAATAGTCACAACAGGTTGTGTACTAACCTTGCCTCTTTTTTTTATCAGAACTTGGCCCCGGGTCAGAGGACAGTGTGGCTACCAGGTGACTGCCAACTTCAACTGCCCACATTTCAGGCCACATACTTAGAAATAAGGTGGGAGTCATCAGACCAACTGGAAAAACAGCATTACGGAGAGTGTCCTGACGCAAGTCCTTCTTGCTCCTCTGTAGGAATTAGGAAAGGCCGCCCCCTCCAGGAGGGCAGAGCTTTACGGCTGCACCACCGGGTTGGTGGGCAGGACTACTGCAGAAGATGGTACAAGTGCTCTGCCTCCAGGGCAAAGGCAGGCCCAGCCCACACTGGGCATCACTTGGCTAGCAGAGACCAGGCTGGGCATCTGCCCTTCTGCCCCTGAGCCAGGCACCTGGAGTGGGCCCGTGCTGCAGAATCCCACGAGGCAGCCCCATTGTCACAGCTCTATCCACGAGGCTTAGAGTCACTGTGCTTTTTCCTCTGTTCCTACCCCCTTTAGCCTCCTGAACTAAGCAATGGAGAATCTACCAGGAAACTGCCCCAGGGTGTGGTTTATGGCGTGGTGCGAAGATCGGATCAAAACCAGCAGAAGGAAATGGTGGTGTACGGCTGGTCCACCAGTCAGCTGAAAGAAGAGATGAACTACATCAAAGATGTGAGCCACTGAGGAGCTGTAACTTTCTGGCTTCTACTCTTTGTAGCACCTCAGAGGGTGGAGATGGAAGTGCTGATGTGGATGTAGCCAGCATTTTGGAAGAATTCTTAGCTTCTTTTTAGATGGAAGTGTTCTAGGTGTCTTCACGGTGGTGTTGAAAGAACAGAGGTAATTCTGCAGTGAGGCATAGTTGGGCTTCGGCAGGGTGGATGTTACTAAGTAGAGGTCCTTAGAAGACCGACAGCTTCTTTCTCCCACACATGGAACAGGGGCACTTAAGTGGTTTAGCTCATTACACTGGTCACAGCTATGTATAAATTAGGACAACTGTATACAAATGGATATTCTTGGCTGTAATGAAAAGACAACTCAGAAAGGAAATTTATCTCCTATGGTGTTGAGTCTGGAGGTGGGTGGGCTTATAGGGTGGGTATATCCAAGCCCTGGTTCTACTTCTCTATGTTTCCAGTAGCTTTTTCTTTCTTCAGTCTCAGGCTCAGGGTATCTTCTGAAAATATGTCAGTGTCTGGAGGAGGAAGGGATATGACCACTCCTCTCTGGATACTTTTAGACACTTTCTGCCTCGTTAGACCTCCCTTTATGTCTTATTGGCCTGGGCTGGTCACATGCCTGGTCCCCCAGACCAGTCACCGGCAAGGAGAACAGGAAGACTTGACTGGTTCAGACCAACAAGAATTTGAGGAAGTCAACCACAGTAGATGTTATCCAACCCAAACAAATCAATGTTATTTCTTTGTATTTAATATTCTATTTCTTAACTTTTAAGTTACATATGCTTTTGGGAAGTTTTGGAAAATGCGAAAGGGTACCAAGAAGAATACACCCATAATCTCACAGTTTATCTGCTACAGTTCTTAACATTTTGGAGCATTTTCTTCTAATTTTTTTATATCTGTCTATATCCATTTCCCTCCTTTCCCTCAGTGTCCCCCTAGATCAGTGATGGCAAACCATTTAGAGCTTTCAATGATAATAAACAGCCCACAGGTTTGCCACCGCTGCCCTAGATTGACTAATGCTCTTGTTGCCCAGACCAGGTTATTAGATGTAGCCCACAGGTTTGCCACCGCTGCCCTAGATTGACTAATGCTCTTGTTGCCCAGACCAGGTTATATCTAATAAAAAAAAAAGAGGAAATGGGCTGCTTTGGGAGAAGGGCCCCCAGCATTGACCTGTGGCTTAGCAGTGGAAAGCACCGGGTGTGAGTACACGGACCCTGCTTCCGGGTACAGCTCTGGGCCTGGCCTGGCAGGTCATTTTGGCACACTCTCGGCTTCCGCTTTCTCATGTCGTGAGCTGGGCTCTGATCCCTAAGGTGAAAACCTGCAACTCCAGAGTGAGCTGCATTTTGTCTTATGGGTCTGCAGATGACCTGCAAGGCCACATTTCTTAGCTGTTGTATGGGTTTAGAACATTTCTTCTTGAATTTTAAAAGTAAAAAGTAATAAATTCTTAGCATAAAATATGTGGAAAAGTGACACACACAGAATGTGACAACTTCCGGCCTCACATCCCTGTTTATTGTGCCTCCCAAGAGTATAACCGTGCAGAATATTCCATTGCTGCTTGCCCTTTGTAGCTCAGACATTCTATGCCTCCTATGTTTTGCTCGAGGAAATGCTCATCCCTTCCTCGTTTACATGCCCCAAATAGCGTGGGGTTGCCTTAGAGGGCGACTGTCCACACAGAGACCCGAGTCTCAAGTTGCCCAAGACAAAGACAGCAAGTTCAGGCTGATCCTCAGCTGTGGCTTATGGGAGCCGAAGTCACAAGGCTGGTTCTGACCTGGAAAATTACCAGCCTCCACTGCCATCTGCAATTTAAAGCTAATTCTCGGGTCCCACCTTTTGTAACTGGCTTCCGACCCACTTCTGGTCTGGTCATTCTGAAGTGTGCTCACGGGTTTGTGTTCTTTCCCTGGTGAGCGAATCTCTAGCCCTGTTGGTTCCTGCAGTGTTTACTAGTGAGAAGATCCCACCCACGCCCATTAGTGACAGCACAGGGCCCAGCGTGGGGCAGCGGAGGACAGCCATTCAGTCAGCTAGGGTGAAAGTCATGCTTTTGGCCTCATTTTCCCAACGTGTGTATAGTCGATGGCAAGAAAGAAAACTCTATTACTAGAAGTCATCTAGGGAAGGCTGAGTCTTCACTCCTCTCTTCTTCCCCCTTACTTGTCTGCCGATATCGGTCTGATTAAAAACAGGATGCTGCTTTGAGAACACACTTCCATCATCAGGTCCCCTAGTACTGTCCCTAAACACTTGGCATTCTAGCCGAACTGCGGCCCTAAGCCCGTCTAAGCTTGGAATGAATCCTGGGACACGCCTGGCGCGAACAGCCCTGCGACTTCCTGTCCTATTCAGAGATCCTGCGGATTCTTCCATCCAGGGACACCAGAGGACAGGAAGAAACAGAGTCTGTTTATAAGGTTGCTTCTGGTTAAAAAATTTAAATTCCTGTTGTTTGAACTGTTTGAAGTGTTTTAGGGATCCCTTCACTTTTTAGAATTAGTGTTTCCTGTACTATTGGTGATGATTTGAAGGACTGATTTTTGAATTTCTGAATCCTCCAGGAAACACATTTAGCTGCCTTACTTTCTAGGCATTTAGTTGATTTTTTTGGCTATCAATAGGCATACGGAAAAATTAAGGGTTACTGTTTGCTTCTAGGTGTTTTGATTCTCTTGACCATATGTTTACAGAAAACTTTCCACTTATAAAAGTGAGTGCTAGGAAAAGGCATAGGCATTGCCTATTTTGGCTGGAGAGTGACAGGTGAATTTCAACGAACCACTCTTTCTTCAGACTTTATTATTTGGATAACTAATTTTCATTACTATAGTTATATAAATTATTATTAGTTGGGTAATTGCTTTCAAACTAGGTGTCAGGGGTGACCTTCACCCTTCATTTATGATTACTTTTTTAATGTATTTTTTTTTTGGGAGGCCTTGTCTCATTAGTAAAGTTTTGGACACCTTGCATGAAAAATGTCATAATAGCACAAAGATCCCTAATATGTTTTTTGTGGGCTGTAGGTGAGAGCCACTTTGGAAGAAGTAAGGAGGCGCATGTATGGCGACTATGATGAAATGAGGCAGAAGATCCGACAGCTCACCCAGGAACTGTCTGTAAGGGTCTTGGTGGCACAGTGGGTGCATGGGTGGATGGCGGAACCTGGGACTTCCTCTCGGTGGCTGGTACCTAAAGGTGTTTGATGTGTGATTTTTTTAATCAGTGGAGCCATATTTTAAATGAGTGGTGGGAATTTTTGTCACACATTGAAGTTTATTACTAAAAGGAAAACTTTTGTGGCAACTATAATCTTCTTTATATTCAAAGCCTTCCCCCTAAGTCTATTCCTAAGAATTTATTCTACAGATTAAATTCTCCATATGTGAAATGTAGAAGGGATGAATCAACTAATCATATCACTGTATCTTTTTAATAGTAAAAAAGATTAGAAATCCAAGTATCCATCAAGAATAGGAAAGTAAATTACATCTCTCCAATAGAAAACATACAGTTGAAAAAAAGAGCAACTTAGCTGTTCAAAAACAGTTAGGGAAAGATTTGAAAGATACAGAGTAGATGAAAAAGTGAGTTATAGAAAAGTATGCATAGTTTGCTACCTTTCGTATAAAGCAGGAGGAGAAAATAACTGTTTCAAGATTTGTTTTTGTTTACCCAAAAGTTACTAAAAGGCAAATCCAGGAAGTGATTAACAGTGGCTCCCTAACTACTGTGTTTCCCCCAAAATAGGACCTGGCTGGAAAATAATCAATCTTGAAGACGAGAGATAAAAAACACCAGTCCAGTCAGCCTTACTTGCCTTACAGAGAACCTGCCCAGCAAGAGCACAGTGACGGCAGGGAAAGCAAAGATGGGCTGATTGGGGCTGGCGTTTTTGATCTCTAGTTTTCGATGCTGGTTATTTTCCAGTAAGTCTTATTTTCAGGGAAAGGGCAGGGGTGGGGATGGGCAAGGTGATAACGTGGCTGGTGTGACAGAAGAAAAAGGGACGTTTAAAGTATTTGCAATACTTTAAAAATGTTAGCGCCATGTCAGTGTACTCTTACTCAGAAATTTAAGAAAAATAAGCTTCCTCTAGTCTAAGCAAGCCAATGCTTGTGGGACTTGAATGACATGCTGTTAAGAATCTCAAAGATATGAGACCATGCATATGTAACGTCCTCCCATAAGAGCCAGCATCTGCATGAAAGAGGGCAGTGACAGCCTCTGTGCCTGAGTTCATTTTATGGCTGGGCTGTGTTCTATCTGTTTACGCAGACCTATGTCCTGATTACAGGAGTGGGGCATGTAAACACGCCCTCCTGGCCCATTCCAACTGGAATGTTGGAGGAGACGGGTGGCAGTCTCACCTTGTCACAGAAATCCACCCTGCTATCCTCTGACAGGCACTAATGACTGCCTTCAAAGCCTAGGGATGGCATTTGCAATCGCAGGGTAAACAAGACCCTGCCCCGTGCTTCCCACACATCTTTATTTTCTCAGGCTCCAGCTGCTCCTGGAATCCCGACTCTTTGCCAGTCTCTTCATCCTTTGCACTACTCCATGCTCTTAGCTGGATGAGGTGTGCTGAGCTACTGCCCCAGACAGTCCTGAAGGACACTGGGCCTCCTGCACTTGCCCGGTCTGCTGATTCGCTTCCCTCTTCCACCAACAGGGGGTGCCTCACAGAACCACCTCAGGCCTTCTGTCCCTGTTCCTGTAGTCCTGTAGCCTCCCAGATTCTCTGCCCACAGCCCTTGTTGAAGTCTAACTCAAGACTGGCTTCTGACAGGGCCAGGGATTTAGCTCAGTGGTTCCATTGCCTACCTTGCAAGTGCAAAGGCTAGAGTTCGATCCCTGGTACAAAAGGAAAAAAAAAAAGACTGGCTTCTGACAAAACTTTCTCAGACTTGTTAAACATACACCCAACACAGGCAGCAGCAGTGACAAAAGAACCCTTGAGGGGCCCAGGATTTAGCTCAGTGGTTTTGTCACTAAAAGGAACCCTCGAACACTGTGTTAATCCAAGGCACATTTTTCCTGTGGTCCATACAAAGAGCAAGATGGCAGAAGCCCTCATCTCTTTCTGGCTGTGCCACCTGAGCTATGTCTCTGTGAGCAGATCACCTGTCCTCTCTGATTATGTCTCTTCTCTGTGGGTACTGTGTGAATAGTACCCACAGGAAGAGTATTTTTGTTTTTCTGCTCTCTGGGTCATGCAGATATTGGCTTTTAGGCTAAAACTTGACATAAGTCGGGCTGGGGATTTAGCTCAGTGGTGCCATGCCTGTCTTTCAAGCTCAAGGTCCTGAGTTTGATCCCTGGTACCGCAAAAAAAAAAAAAAAAAATGACATAAGTCATGTTGATGTGGACAGAGCTACCGTCAACAAGGAAGCTCCTGCCTCACTGAGGGTTGCTGTGGGTGTGTGGATTGGCTCTGAGTGACCTTCTCCTCCTTTGTCCAGGTTTCCCATGCCCGGCAGGACTATCTAGAGAACCACATCCAAACCCAGTCCTCAGCCTTGGATAGTTTCAATGCCATGAACTCGGCTTTGGCATCGGACTCCATTGGTCTGCAGGTACGTGCTGTTCCCTTCCATGAGAGAGCAGCCTGCAGCCCAGGCATGGTTCCCATACCCGTGTGAAGAAGCCACGGGTGCAACACATCCACATCTTCCTCCCTGTATCCCTAGTAGCTCAGGAAATTCCACACAGTCACAGAAAAGACAGACTTAACCCAAGACAATCTATACCCCCTCATGGCAAGTACCTCCCAAAGGCTGGTAAGCTCTTTTTCTTAATTTAGAAATTATTTTGCATTAGCAAGAACCATGAGTATTTCTGTATTCCAAAGACTGTCTTGAAATACCATACAGAGAAACAGAAAGACCCAGAATCCAACATTCAAAAAGATGTGTTGTCAGCCTATTTCAAGGAACATTCTTTTCATGAATTTGATTTGCTGAGAGCTAACAATACAAATGATCCTTTCTCTTCCAAAGAGCGTGCTACTGAGCATGCAACTGAATTTGAAGATGTTCCCAATGAAGCATTACTTTCCCTTGCAGTAGCTCTCCTTGGCTGACTTTCCCAGTATATAAACAATGCTTCTGCCCTCCTCTGACTTAACTTGGCTCTTGTCAGCTTCCTAAATATTCCACAAACTATTTAAAATCCTTTCTGGTTCTATGTAAATAATTGAGGAATAAGTAAACAGATTTCCCTGTTGGGTTGGTCTACTCCTCTAGAACCTTGTATTTTCCGGCAACAGCTGACATGGTAGCTGTGGCAGCAACAAAGCTTGGCCTCCATCCAGCAGTGGATCTGGGCGTGTCTTGTGTTTGGTTTGTCTGGGATGCCCATGTGTGGTGGGGCTTTTCCTGCTTGCTTTGTGTGTGCCAGTTTCCCCATGGCCTCCGGCCAAGACTCGCTTCAGCTCTGGCTCATTCAGAAGCCTTTGTTTTTCCCTTCCTCTGATCAGAAAGGGGGCTCGCCAAGCCTCTCTTCCTTCTGTCATGGATGCCTCTCACTCCCAGTCCAGCATGGATAACTTTACCCTATCTGAGTCCATAGTTGGCCAATATCTGAACTGTGTCTGGTTCTTTTTCCCCAGAAAAAACTTTTTTTCTAGTATTTTCTGGAATCTTCTGATTTTTCTATCTGGCCAGCAGTCCAGGCATTTACCCCAGGGGTCAGCTGTTAGCATAGAGTCAGCCCTAACCCAGGGACTCTCACTGAATCCTAGTTATGGATCAGGCTCTCAGTCCTGGCCATCCAGTGGAGCCCTATGACTAAAAAGTTAAGCCAATGTTTGAAGGTCAAAGGCTTTCTTTTCATGCAAACCTCAGCTTCTTCCACTTGCCCATTCTACCATGTTCATCTTTATGGACAGAGAGACCAGATCCTTGGTTTGATTTCACAGCATATCAGCACTAGAAAGGACTGTTGAGATGCTTTCTGACCCTTTGGTGTATGAACAAACCAAGGCCAACAGAGAGCAGCAATGTGAACCAGGGGTCTGGCTGGTGGCAAACCAGGATGTGGGTTTTTATGTGGACACCAGACAAACTTGGGCAAGGGGAGCTGCTTTTCAAAGCCCCTGAAAGCTCACGTGTTGTGATTTCATGCTTCCAAATGGCTCTTGTATTTCCTTTAATATCTAGCTACCTTCACCAACAGTTCCTTATCCTAGCTCCAGTAGGTTTAGGAGCCAGAGGCTTGTTACTGGTCACACAGGGGCTGCAGAGAGGGCACTGTCTGGTCATCTAACAAGACAGTGTTTGAAACCAAGTCCAGAGTATTTCCAGGTCTTCTGTTTAGAAGTTGAGATGACATGGGGAGGTGGTAGAGGTGCCCTGACCCAGTACCCAGTGATGGGATGCTGGTGTTCCCAGAGGCCATTTCTCTAAGGAGGTCTAACCAACTCGGAAATGAAGCAGTAAATAGCAACACTACTAATGTAGACAAACTTGTTCCTTTTGGTGGTCGCGAGTGATAATCCACAGGCTCTTGACCCTTGCCAGGCACTTATCCAAGTCACCAACTCTATTGTTTGGTGATTCTGCCAACCCGGGAGGGAGATAAAGCATGTGGCAGCTTTGCCATGTTGTCACTGGTGCAGCAGGCAGTCCAGAAGCACAGCCGTGATGACCCTAAGAAGGAAAAAAATGGGGATATTATCATTCTATAGAATTCATTTTTTTATTCTGTTGTGGGGATGTGGTAAGTAGAGAGGGAAAAACAAAGAAGAAAATAAATATCCATTATTCTGTCACATAGTGGAAACTGTTTGGATTTATTAATGGGATTGTACTACTAAAACTGTTTCCAAACCTGTTTTGTTTTCCATGTGAAGTGATGTGTTTATGTACATTTTTCCCTTGGAAAGAGTCCGTTTTCATCCATTTCCAGCCCCCCTAAGTAAGCAGTAACATGTGGTGTTGGCAGCGCGGTGGGAGGTTGAGGGGAGGCTCGCTGGCCCACAGGGGTGCGGACCTCTCAGCCACCATGGGAAGCCCCTCGTGGAAAACTACGAGGCCCCGCCTGGGAGCAGCGGTGGCCTGACAGGGAACGATAGGGCACGACTCTGGCCCTGTTCCCTCACACCGCTAGCGCTGACTTTGGTTTTATTTTCACTGAAAATAGAAAACCCTTGTGGATGTTACTTTGGAAAACAGCAACATTAAGGATCAAATCAGAAACCTGCAGCAGACGTACCAAGCTTCCGTGGACAAGCTGCGAGAGAAGCAGAGGCAGCTGGAAGCGGTGCAAGTTGAAAATCAGCTGCTTCAGACGAAGGTGGGCTGGGCGAGCCAACGTCCCCTGCCAGCCTTCGCTCCGCTGTCCTCCTCCTCCTTTCTCTCCTGCCCCAGTTGCCTCTTCCGTTTCCTTTCGTTATATTTTTCACCCTTTGTGGCCAATCTCATGAGGTGTGGCTTAAACTAAAAAGGTCTGTTGCTGAAAAAGTCTGAAATCAATGAGTCTTTTCCTCACCGTAGGTGCTTTATGGTTTGTTCCGTCTGTGAATACTTTCTGGACGTCTGCTGTATGTGTCTGCCCAGGCTTTGCTGTTTGTGCAGGTGGTGTGTTCCCAGACATGAGGGACGTCGCCAGGCGGTGTGGTGGCCAGGTCTCTAGGGCCAGCCTCTGGTTTTCATCCTGACCCACGGAGCTAGACAGGCTACCCTCTCCTGTTCCTCTTATTCCCTCCTCCAAGTTTAAAAACATTGTTGCAGGGACTCGGGTTATTTCCCACAGCCTGTGTGTGGTGGAAATGGGGTGGGATTCTTGCTAATGATAGCCTCCGACTGGGAGTTTCCATTTTGTGGTTTCTCGGTGTTGGCACTTGCCTAGTGCTAAGAAGGATTTAAAGAGTGTTAAGAGACTTGGCACATCTTGGGAGCGCACTTACTAACCTGTTGAGGGTGAAGGACCTGCCCTTATCCAGAGGTGACACACCTGGTGGACTCAGCTCTGGAGCAAGCCAAAATTGGAGGAAGGGCCGAGAGCTGGAAATCAGTAGCCCACGTCAGCCCCGCGCACGCGGCTCTAATGACCCCTCACTAGCGGTGCCCAGTTTAGTGAGCCTGCTAGGTTAGAGCGCTTCCTGCCATTTAGGGGGTGCACGGGTGGGCAGAGGATGAGGCTGTATTTCTCATTTGAGCTTAACCGAACTCCGGCCTAGTTGCAGGATTGGCCACGGCAGCTCATGGGGTCGCTAAGCAGTTATGTTTCTACCTTTGGAACAGTCCATGCCTGTGCACACCTTTGTCCTGAGCATCCTCATAGCAAGGTGTGCAGTGGTGCCAGTTTTCATTTGTCTGGGCTGCATGCGCCCCTTCCTCCTCCTTCACTCCCTGCTCTGGGTTCCTACTGCTTCTCGCTACCACAGGCCTTGGTGATAGCCTCTGTCCCCACGTGTCCTCATGCAAGCTGTCCAGCGGGGAGGCCAGGGTCACCCTGGGACCCGCCAGAGCGGTGGTGCTGCAATGAGTCTCCCTGCAGGTGGAATCCTCCCAGGCAGCCAATGCCGAGGTGATGAGGGAGATGACCAAGAAGCTGTACAGCCAGTATGAGGAGAGGCTGCAGGAGGAGCAGCGAAGGCACAGTGCTGAGAAAGAGGCGCTCCTGGTGCGTAGTGGCCGCGTTGACGGAAGAGATGGGGAGCAGGGTTTGCTCTTGGGGATCCTGCGGGCTCCGGCGTGGGTGAGGATCTGGGCATGCATGTCTTTGCTCCTTCACTGGGCTCCGGTCTTCCCTCCTGCCTCCCATCCTGCTCTGAGCAGGGCTCGTCTGCAGCCTTGCCCTTCCCCCCTCTACCCGAAACCCGTTTCCTCATTTGGATTCCATCCAGTCTCTAAGTGCCACTGCCCCGTGCCCCAGGTCTGCCATTTATACATGTGGAAGAGTCCTCTGACGGATGGCCCGGGCTCCTTGCCGTGGATGTGGAATTCTGTCCTACCCAGCAGTGAAGCTAGGGCAGGGTGTGTTCTTGGTGGGCAGGGACTCCACGTCTGGGTCGCTGCATCCTTAGAGGCTTGATGACTGACCCAGCTTTCTCGGGAGTGAGTTGGGAGAGATCTGGGCATTCTCATTCCACTCCTGATCTGCCACTAAGTCCCTTTACACTGGTTACGAATATGGGGACATCTACTTAATGTTATTTAAACATTCACAGACTCTTTTACACCTTCCAGATTTAAAGTTTCAAGGAGAAAAGGGAAGAAAAGTAGCCAGGCTCATTAAAAAGCCACACAATGTATCTTCATGCATAGATGAGACCAGGGAAGCTGAATCTGCTGTCTGTGAGATACTTCTTGGGGTCTGAGGTCAGGCTTTGGAAGGGCGATCGCAGCTTAGCAAGGCCTGGCTGCTTGGATGTGGTGAGTACCTGGGTTCTCCAGGCCTGTGCTGAGAGAGTACACTTGTTTTGCAGGAAGAAACCAATAGTTTTCTGAAAACAATTGAAGAGGCCAATAAAAAGATGCAAGCAGCAGAGATCAGCCTCGAGGAGAAAGACCAGAAGATTGGGGAGCTGGACAGGCTCATCGAGCGCATGGAAAAGGTGACACATGTCACAGTTTTTCTCCTTGAAATGAGCCTCTGTGTCCCACAGTTCCCTGCAGGCCTGCCAGAAAATACAGAAGCCCTCCGCTCTGATTCCTCTCAGCCTGTCTGCAATTTTTTTTAAAAAAAGAGCTATAAAATATGAAGAAGTCTAACAAAGTTCTAATTTTTCCCTCAGTAACTATTCTCGTGCTTTAAAAGAAAATATTCCATATGAAATTCTTTACAAAACCCTAACACTTCAGCAGCCCTGGCACGCACTGGCCTTGCCACTGAGTAATCAGGTCCCTTTGGGTTTCCTTCAACACCCAGCCCTGCCCTGTCTGCATAGGAGGTGGGGACCCAAAGCAGGGATGATAAAGCCAGTCTAGAGCAAGGGAGGAGGCAGGAAACTAGGCAGGAAGTGGAGGAAAGGGAAGAAGGCAGGAGAGAAGGGAGAGCTCAGGAAGGATGGTAACATTCAGCTGCTGACAGCTGAGTTCGGGGAGAGGTCCTAGGAGTTCAGGGCCGAAGCCATGGCTGGTTTCTGAGAAACAGCTCCCCAGTTAGACAGAGGGGACCTACCTGGGCCATTGATATGAGCACGCTCTAACTCACTTGGTGTCTGCCTCAGAGCCCTCTATGCCCCCTACAAGGTTCTGACCAGCGTGGGAACCCTATTAAGTTCCACATTCAGGGCTTCCAGGATCCCTAATATCTTTCCTTGGGAGTTCTAATCTCACCTCTGCCCCTGCGAAACAGACCCCACCTTTTACCGAGAAGCAGGCGGTGCCTTGTCTAGCACTAATATGGCATTGACTGGACTTGGTGGTGGAGACCTAGGGGAGGTGTTCTCCCAATGGCTTCTAAGAAGACACTGGTTAAGTTCAACACTCTTCCTGGGTGGCAGATTTTGCTGGGGCAGCACCCACCAGAGAGACTGTGTGTGTGGCCAGAGCAGGGGTTTAGCGTCAGGCAGACCCAGGCTTTGGTCTTGCCTCTCTTTCTAGAGTGGCAGTTATTTCACTTTCCCAAGCTCAGTTTCCTGTCCTGTGAAATGCTGATAATGTTCCTTCTTATTCTGATGGCTTTTGTGAAAAGTAAATAAGAAAAACTCACACAAGTGCTGAGCATGGGGCCTGGCCCTAGGTAAAGGGCTGTCATTTATGCCCCTGATTTTTATTTTGTTATAGGCTTGCGCAAGCGCCTAACCCTGTTGCCAGCTTTTATAACTGATCTTCTCTGTACCCTTGGGGTTCTGAAACTTCTGGTTTGCCCCTGCTGAGCTGCACATGCAGCCCCAGGAGGAGGTGATAAAGATTCTCTGCCAGCACTTAGGAGACACAGAAGATTCCTCAGATCCTGTTGGCTTTTTCTCTAGTTACTGAACTTTTATCCTGTCTCTAAACCTTTTTTTCCATTTAGGCTGGAGGAATCTTTTCTTTTTCCTTTTTCATACTCGTGGAGGTTTGGCCCAGGGCCTTGCTAGCTACCTCCTCAGCCGTTAAGTTTTATTTTAAGACAGGGTCTTGCTCAGTTGCCCAAGCTGGGCTCTAATTTACAATCCTTGTGCCTCAGCCTCCCAGAGTGCTGGGATTACAGGTGTGTGCTCCCTTCCCCAGCTGAGAAATATATTCTGTATTTAATTGGGATCAGTTACATTCTTTCCTCTTCAGGGATAACCTTTGAGAGTAAGGGTTTGACCAGAAATCTGTCCCACTCTGTACACAGCAGTGTGTGTGCCTTGCTGTCCTTGTTTTGGTGGTGGTGGTGCTGGGGGGAAGTGCTTGAAGCCAAACTGTGCTTTTGAGTGGCTTCTCCACTGCATACCTCAGTTTGCTGATGTCTTACTGAGCACTGGATCGGAAACACCTTTATTTTTATCAGTGAAAATCTTCTAAGGAGTGCACCTTCTGGAGCCTTGGGGCAACAGGTGGTCCTGGGTCTTGGGTCCAGCTGGTGGCATCTCAGGTGCAGACAAAGGGGAGAAATGATTGTGCAGTGCACACTCAGGACTTGTTGCACCTCGGTTTTTTTAAAAGTAGATTTTTAAACGTGCTGCAGTTAGGTCTTGAACTGCCTTATGACATTTTCGTGGGGAGGTGGACAGAACCTATTTGCAAAAAAGTTGTCACCCTCATTTCAGGGCTGACGAGAGCTTCCATGCAGGGCAAAACATACAGGCCAGGAGGAACTTCCTGCCCAGGCCAGACTGTAAGAATGTGTTTCTGCTATAGAGATTTTAAAAACAGTAACAAAACTCAAGTCAGTTTTTTTTCCCCACCTTGGTGTTATGATGTTCTTCCTGGCCAGCCTGGCTTTCCCCTGGGTGCCACCTCTATAGCTTCAGAAGTAGTAGTAGTTAAATTTCCGGAGATTTGCTTTTAATAGGTTGGCGGAAAAGCAGTTTGGAATCTCCATAATTTGTAAAGGTTTGTTGCAGAAAATTTCTAAGTGTAAAGCTGAGCCACTCTCCTCTGGGTGACAGGACTTGATAAGCTTCCATTTTAAGGAAATGGATTACATATACGTCTGTGCTGTATTTTTAGCACAATTTCACTGCACTTTTAATTAATAATATTTTCCCATGTTCTCCATAGATAATCATCCAGATTCTTAATTTGGGGTAAACTTTTGAATATATATATATACAACAAAGTATCCAAAGTGCAGTGCCTGATAACATATATTTTTATCACCACTGTAACAAATTACTACAGAATTAGTGGCTTCAAACAACACTAATTTATTCTTTTTAGGTTCTGGAGGCAAACAGTCCTACCATCAAGAAATTGACTGGGATGGATTCTTTTTGGAAACTTGAAAGGAAAAGCTCTTTTCTTACCTTTCTAATTTCTGGGGGCTGCCTGCATTACTTAGCTTGTGGCCCCTTCCTTCACCTTCAGAGCCAGCACTGTAGCATCTTCCAACTTCTCTCTGAATTTAACCTACTGCCTTCCTTGAGATAAAGAACCAACTGGTTAATCCAGAGCCTCCTCTATCCATCACTGGCATTCACTACTCACTGTATCTGTTTCAGGAGCGGCACCAGCTGCAACTGCAGCTTCTGGAGCACGAGACAGAAATGTCCGGGGAGATTCCCGAGGCTGACAAAGAAAGGTAGGATGCAGGGCCGTTGGTCTGGGAGTGGGTGTTGAAAGTGGGCTGCTCTGGTATTGTGGCACCTTTGACCTTGCATTTTCATGGATGTGCTCGGCACTGGTCGGGAACATACCCAGATGTGACTCTGGGCTGAGAGTTTCCGGTGGGGGGGGCTCCTGCGTGACAAGGTGACTGCCACCTCTGGCTGCCCGTGGCTCATTCATAGCCCGGGATAGGCACTGAATTCTGGGGCCAGTGTGAAAGTCTGGTCTCTGCACGTTCTCCATAACCTTGAGCTCCACAGGATGCACCTTGGGTGTTGAGAAAACACAGCAGCTGTGATTAATAACATGTCCTGGAAAATAATTGAAAAGAATGTGTTTTGCTTGCAAGCCCTGCATTTGGCAAAAAGGATATAAAACCCTGGGGGGAAATGTGGGCGTGGTATACTGACTCTTCTAAAAGTGCAATGGCTCAAGAGGCTCAGAGGCTCTCAAGTGAACGTGGAGGATTGGAGCACTTTGGGGAGTTAGTCTCCCCGAGGCCCTTTGCACCTGTGGGATTCTGAGCTTCCAGGCTGACCGGAGTCTTTGCTGGATTTCACTATAGTGTTGAGGGGCAGAGCTGGGAGGTGGCACCAGACCCAGCTCCTCCAGGGCTCCCCTCCGGAGTCCCACAGAGTGGAAGGACCATCTGCAGTGGCCTTCAGTTCCTTTCCACAAGCACAGTGGGAGAAGTGTTTGTGCTATTGCAAAAAAGAAAGATGAAATGTCTTACGACCTCTGTTGTGACGCAGTGATCTCTCAGCCTGTTCCTTGTTCATCCAAAATAAACAATTCACAGTGCAGCTGTAATCCTGTATGTTCTAATCTAGCAACCCTCAAAGTGAGAGCCTTGTGAACTTGTAAGTGGGTGAAAACATTCTCTCTCCATCCCTGTAGTAATTGTTCTTATGCAGGATAGAACTCAAGCACCGGAGGGAGAGAGGCTTTTCGAAGGCGGAGACTTGACTGGTTTATGCTTGATCACTTAGGATGTGCACAGGAAGCAGAGTGCATCTTGGAGTTTCATTTCCTGGTCTTGGCGGTACCTCTTCAAGGCTGAGACCTTGTTGCCGATGTGGGCACTTGGGTGCAGGACTCAGTTGCCTTTTCTTCCCCGCGTTAGGTATCAGCAGCTGGAGGAGGCCTCAGCCAGCCTCCGTGAGCGGATCAGACACCTGGATGACATGGTGCACTGCCAGCAGAAGAAAGTCAAGCAGATGGTTGAGGAGGTACGTGCTGGGCAGGGCCTTGGGCTGGCACTGCTGCCCGACGGTGACCTCAGCCCTGGAACATAGAGACTCTCTGCCTGCTTTCCTGTGGTCCAAAGTGTGCTTGCCCAGGCCAAAGAGAGTTCCTTCACATGCTCTGTGCAAGCTGATGGTTGCCCTAGTGAAGGGCTCCTCTAGCCACAGCCCGTCTGGTGGGGGCTGGCGCTGCATGGTGCCAACTGCTCAGGGCGTGACAGGGTGGACGAGAGGAGGTGACTGCCCTGGGTCTCCACACTGCTGCTCACCCTGCCTGCTTCTCACTCTCCTCCCTCTCTCTCTCTCTCTCTCCCTCTCTCCCTCTGATCTTGAAAGCCTGTGCTGTGACCAAACCAGTCACATACTGTGTAGGTTTGTTGCTCAGTTTTAAAAATCCAGTAAAAAAATCTGATAGAAAAACAATAGTACTAGCAGATTGGTAAGAATTCCTGTGAGTCTTGTTCTCTAAATTGCAAAATAAAGAGAAGGTGTCCATTTTAGGCAGCATTTAGAGTGAGCACCACTCTACAAAGATATCTGTTTCCTTAATAAGTGATTACAAGCAAAAGTATATCTACTCAAATAATTCATACTTGTGAGATAAAATGTTCAAAGGATAATTAAAATCAAACGGTGGCTCACACCTGTAACCCCAGCACTCTGAGGGACTGAGGCAGGAGGATCGCAAGTTGGTGCTGAACTTAGGCAACTTGGTGAGACCCTCTCTCAAAATAAAAAATAAAAAAGGGCTGGGTATTTAGTTCAGTGGATTCAGTTCCTAATAACACATACACAAATATACACACATGCCTTTTTTCTTTTGCTTTTCTTTCTTTTTTTTTGTGTGTGTGTGTGTGTTTTTGAGACAGGGTCTCACTATGTAGTTGAGACTGACCTGGAACTCATTATGTAGCCCAGGCTGGCCTCGAACTCACAGCAATCCTCCTGCCTCAGCCTCCTGAGTGCTGGGATTGCAGGTGTGTGCCACCATGCCTGGCTAAGCCTTTTTTCACTAATCCATAAGAAAATGTTGGGGATATGAGTGTGGTGTGGTGGTGGTCAGGGGTTTGTGAGGGGGAAGGGATGGCGTTTTGCATCAGGTGCAGGATAGACAGACATGTTGAAGTCTAGTCCCCAGAGAGCCTGGTCTTACCATGCTGGGCTGTGTGAGTCCCACACAGACTCACACAGGACTCAATGGAGCAACCAGGCTCAGAGCAGGCCCCAGCCCACCTGGCTGTGCCTGGTCCTCCCAGGCAGGAGCAGTGCCAGCCTCGGTGTGGGGGTTCTGCTCCCCCCCCATGGTCACTTGATTCTGTCTCCCCAAGGGAGTGCATCTCTGGCACAGCTGCGGTGGAGCGTCTGAGCCTCTCACACTTGACAACTGGGGCCAGGGCCACCTCTCGTTTTCCCCTGGGGTTCTCCACTGCGGGCCCTGCAGGGAAGTATGGATTGTGCTCGTGCCTTGTGCCTCGTGCTAGAGGACCATGGACTCGAACCTCTCACGGATTGGCTTTTGAGTCCATTAAACTCCTAACTGTAAGGATTTAAGGCTGGTACAAAACTTGGAGACTTGCCGGGGATTTAGCTCAGTGGTTCTGCCTCCTGCCTCACAATCACAAAGACCCAAGTTCAATCCCCTGTACAAAAATAAACAAAACAATTTGGAGACTTTTCTAAAAGACATTTTCAGCCATGTGTGGTGGTGCACGCCTGTCATCCGGTGTGTGGGGGAGGCTGAGGCGGAAAGGTCACCATGAGTTCAAGGCCACCCTGTGCTACATTGTGAGTTCAAAGCCAGCCTGGTCTACATAGCAAGACCCAATCTCAAAAAAAAAAGACATTTTCAGAGAAATTTAGAAGTCTGTGTTTTATATCCTACTTTCAGAATATAATGAACATACCAATTTGAAGGAAGTGGGGAACACACACACACACACACACACACACACACACAAGTTCTCTGTCTCTTGGTATCAGAGGGGTCACCCCAGGGCCAACCCCACCCCAAGGGTACCAAATCCTTGGGTGCCCAACTCCCTCATGCAAAATGGCATAGTATTTGCATTGACCCCACACAATTCTCTCATGCACTCTAAATATCTCTAGGCTGCTTGTGATACCTAATACAACGTGAATACTATGTGAGAGGCGCACCAGACTGCTTAAGGAACAATGACAAGAAAAACAGTCTGCACATATCTAGCACAGATACAACTTTTATTTTTCCAAATATTTTTTGATCAAGGTTGACTAAATGCAAAGGTGTGGGACCTGTGGATACAGAGGCCAGCTGCGTGTCTGTGAGGGGGCACAGCAGGTCCTCTGCTTCCCACATGTGAGCTCAGTCTCCCGGACTTCTCTGAGTTCTGGTGGAGCTGGCTGGAAGGGCCCTGGCTCAGCTCACTAAGGAGACTTTTAATTCTGAATTTAAAGGCTCTCAATTGTATGGTTAAAATCATGGTGTCGTTAACTTCTGTAACCAAAGGATGGTTTTTTAAAAAAAGTATCAGAGGTTATGGACATTTATGGGAGTGGATTGTTTCAAAATGACAGATGTGGGTAAGCTTAGGACACTGGCGGGGAGCACAGTCGGGACAGGGACAGCTGGTCCCATGGGGAGGTCGCTGGTGACTCAGGAATGGCGGAGAAGTTGGGCAGAACGTGGCCGAGGCTGGACATAAGGTCAGAGTTTACCTTGTAGAAAACCATCTTGTACAAGAGGGAGAATATTTTCGTTCTGTATTGTGATGCAAAGCCAGGCCAGAGCCACTGGGTGGCACTTTCAAAGGAGGAAATTTCAGCTCTTTGCTCAAATTTTATAAAATATTCCCAGTACTGGCTGCCCTAGAGGGGTATTTAGGCTTCGTTCCAGGTGTGTTCCTCCCGAAGGAAGAGTCGAGTTAGACGTTTTCTAGAACTCCTCTAAAACTTTTGTTCTGTGAGCTGAGCCACTACGTGGAGGAAGCCTGGTAACTTTATACAGAGAATTCTGTCCTGTTTGGTTTGCTGTGCCTGTTACTATGGTTGCATTACTTTGCAGAATGAGCAAAATCAGCAAAGTTAAAGCTAAGTCACTCCGGATCAGTTGGGCCCAGTTCTGAGAAGCCCAGCCCACTGAACGGATCGGTGTGAAATCGGGAAAGCGCACTTTAGAAGTATGTTTCTATCTGTGAACATCTGCTACCCAGGGAGAGAGGCAAACGTGATCCAGAACAGAGGCAGCATTTGAGTGTGGCAGATGTCAAGGACAGCTTCCTCCTGTCACACATCTGTGACACAGCCTCAACTTCACCAGGTGTGAATACATCTGGTTCTTCCCTGTCGGGGTCATCTGGGCAGTAAGGCCTGTGAAGCAGTGTTCCTTGTTAAAATGATGGACGTCCAGGCAATGGACAATGCTGAGGCTTTCAGAAACCTCAAATACCCAGCACTGTATTTTTCCCTCCTCAGTAGAATATTATTTTGTAACACGAGTAACAATGAACCGTATAGAAAGCCACTGGCCCGGGTTTTGTGGTTCTAGCTCAGTAGTGACCTGATATCCATCCTGGGAGAAAGCAAGGACTTGTGCTGTATGCGGAGGCCTTGTGGTGGGGCTGGGTCCTTTTGAAACAAAGGATTTTTAGTGCATCTCTTGTGGGGTCAAGTTCACTGAAGTGCTGATTACAGTCCTGGCCGTCATGGACATCAGGGACTGGCCACTCCTCCCAACCCTAGTTCTTAAATATAGTAAATAAACAAAACAGCAACAACGAAAGCCCCACATGTGCCCTTTTAGTCTTTGAAGGTTTTCTAGAAAGTACTGTATGGAGAAATACCAAAGGATGGGGGAAAAAATAGCACCACACACACACACACACACACACTGGGCCAGGCAGGACACACAGCTGTCACTGCTGATCTTAACCTCAGGGCTCCTGGGATTTGTGCTTGGTCTTGAATCAGGCTGTGTTTTTCAGGTTTCCAGGAAAGGCGCTGGGAGAGCTGGGATTAGGGCACCTGAGGCCAGAGCAGTGAGCCTGGGTCATCCGTGTGACTTCTTAAGTCCGCAGGGCCATTCATGCCTCCTTACTGTTCTCACCAAGGTCTAGTCGGCTGCCTTCCTGCCAAGGGGACAGTGACCTGGAGGAGACAGCCAAGTCATACTTGCCCTCCTGAGGGTACATTTACATTTTTGCCAATGGGCAGTGATGCTACTCAGCTGAATGAGCAGTAGTTTGTTATCATCTCTGCATTCCATCGTGCCTTTCTTCTCACGTCCTATCACTGCTTGCCACACGGTAAATGTTTCTTCCAACAGATAGCATCTGAGGGAGTGGCTTTTCAGCAGCCGAGGAGGCATTATTTCTTAAGCCTGCTGTTGCAGAAACCAAGTGTGCTCCTCCCTCTTTGTAATGTAGCTGTGCAAAGATGCACACACCGGATTGATTTTCTCACCAGTGCCTCTCCACCCAGGCCAGGCACTGGTGTCTTTCTGAGCCAAATAGAGGAACAGGAGGCAGACGGTGCAGGGGTCTTTGTGGTCGTGCTTGTAACACCGCGAGAGGTCCAGTGTGCGGTCAGATTCTCAGTCCGGGAAGCCAGGCAACCTTGCTGGCTTCATGTTAGTGCATTTGGCTGCCTCCCTTGGAAGCTCCTGCACCTGAGGAGAAAGCTGTGGTGGACTCAGAGCAGATGGTCTCGAGGGCCAGACCAGGGACAGGAGCACTGACTTGGGAAAGCGAGTCCAAGACCGAGACTGCTAGGCCCTGTCACAGGGACCTTCAGTCCTTTCCAGCCCCTGGCACTGGGTCCCCGAAGATTCTGAAACAGCTCAGTCTTAACACCACACTGGCCTGGTGGCATCCAGACTGTAGACTCTTCCCAGATGCAATGCAGATAGAGGGAAGATGTTACTTAGGAGGAGGTGGGGCAGAACCCACCCCATGCCGAGACTGTGGAAGGCAGGAACCTACCTCTGACAGACCGCAGGTGGCTCCCTTGTCCTCTTCTCTCTGGGCAGGTGTGCACATGTCTGCCCTTGCCCTGGCTTAACAGGGTGATAGTGGTAGGATTGTAATTCACTCTGTCTCAGGGAGATGAAGTGGTTCAGGGGACAGGCGACCAGTAACTCCTCAGCGAGGCAAGGCTTTGAGTTTCCGGCTCTTAGGACAGTTCACAAAGCTTTCCCTCTCTCTGTACCCCAGGTCTCAAGTCTGCATGCACCCTGTATGTAGAGACCTTTGGGGGCATTCAGTGAAAGAGGGCCTACGAATAACAGTGAGCATGAAACTTTAGAATCAAGCCCACCTGCATTCAGTAGTTGTGGACACTTTGGAAAGTTACTTATTTAATTATCTACAAAATGGGATTAATAACAGTATCCACCTGATACGTTGTTTGAAAAGGGATTAAATTATATATAGATGAAACATTAGAAGATGAATTGGAATATAGTAAATGCACAGTAAATACTAGCTGCTGTTGCTGTTGTTACCACTAATGAATTTACTCCTGCTGTACACACCTAAAGGAAAGAGAATAAAAGCAGAAGTAGCTAGTTGCTATCCTGACCAATACACAGGGCTGTGCATTTCCCTTGGGACCTCTGAGTTGTTTTGGTTTCCCTTCTGTGCTCTGCAACCACCAGACTCTTGAGTAGAACATTCGCAGAGAAAGTGGTTTTTAAAAATGTAACCTTCCCCTAATTTCCCATTGTAAATGCTTCCTCTGTTGGCTGGCACGCGGTTCATTTTTAAAACTTCAGTGTGTGGAAATGTGCAACCCACAAAAGTACCCTCTGGCCAGATGCCCCGTGTTGAGAGCCGTGTCAGGGAGGGAGGAGGCGTGGAGCCCTGAATTCTCAGCCCTAACTCCCTCAATTGAACTGTCTCCAGATCATGTCGCACGAGCTCTTCTTCAGATTTAGTCTGCGGCTCTTTGGAAGATGATAACCCGCTAAGCCCGCTAGCCCACTGTGGGTAGAAGTGGTTCCTTTCGCTGCTCGTGATTAGAAGAACACTTGTGCACTCACTGCGGGCGAGAGGTGTTTTTGAGGAGCAAAACAGGAAGACTTGGCCACCCGGGGCCCTGCTTTGTGAAAACACCCACATACGGTAACTCGACTTGGACAGCCGCAGGACGCTGAGTCAAGAGAACTCAAAGGCCCACAGTCTGTCTAGAAACGGGTTCCTAGATCTCAAAGAAAGAACTGTATGGAAAAATTATTCCTAAAAGCAATTCGGAAGGTGCCAAGTAGAGATTGGCCTAAGATCCTGGAAAAATGAAGCTTTTCTGCTAGAAGAGGGTGGGAGAGGACGAAGGACATGAGTCCCGAGAGGAACGGGCTCTGTCCCGAAACACACCCTACGCCCCTACACCCCTCACGAGCAGCCCGGTGTCTGCGTGGTTCGATTCTGTGTTTACAGGGCACAGTGGCCCTGAGATTTTCCTTTCTGAATGTGTCTCAGCACCACTAGTCAACTTCTTGCTCTTCTTGTCTAAGAGAAGTTTGGTTTGCTTCTATCCCTGAATGAATAGTTCAATCAGTTTCAGGAAGAGAAGAACATTTGGCTAAAATGCATTGCCGTGAAGCACACTCCACGCATCTGCGTTTTGGTACCGGTCTCGCGCCACAGCCACACATGCTGGTATTTCTTCAGAAGCTGGCCCAGTTGTGAGAGGTACCAGGAGTGGTGGTCTAGTCGCGGGTGGCATTGGTCCACAGGCCAGGGCACAGGGCTGGTGGAGTGGGTCCCTGTGACAGCAGCTCCTTCTCTGCTCCCGCATGTGTCCATGGCAAAGTGGGTATGTGGGTCCCTTTCCTGTTGGTGTTTGCCTTTGGTCTCTCATTTTGATGCCTCTGCCCAGCTTACACAAAGAGGGAGTGGGAAGGGAAGGAAGTGAGGGGTAACCTTCAGCATTCGTGGGCAGCTGTTACTGTGGGCACAGTGCTCGGTTCGATGCAGATCCCACACACTCACCTGGGTTCCGCAGGGAGCTGGAGTCAGCTTGGGAAATCGCTCGCCTAGATCTCACCCTGGCCTGGTGACCTGCACCGTTTGTTTCTGGGGATTCCTTTACTACTCTGACGTTTTTCTGAGTCTCTGGTGGAATCTGCTCTCTGGCATCTGTTCTAGTGGAATAGATTTGTTAGCATATCAAAAAGTGAAATTAGGAGGAAATGAATTTAGGGAACACCTTGACCTTCCAAGAAACTGGGGCACTGGTGTGAGTCGGCGGGGTGGTGTGCTCTCTTCCGCCCTGGAGTTTCTTCCGTCTGTTGGCCTAGGCGCAGTCCCTGGAGGACAGGGTTAGCGGAGCAGACATGAGCAGAGCCCAGAGCATCTATACGCCCCTTTTCCTGCCTTCCACGCGCTTGGTGCATGTGCCTTCTTCCTGCCCCAGCCCCAGCCCAGGCTTTCTGGTGATCTTGAGTCTGGCTCCCCTGCTCCACAGGACCCATCTCTCTTCTCTGCTCTACCATTGCTGGTGAGCCTCAGTTTACCTCTTTCCTGCCTACATTGTAACACGCTGTTAACTGTACCTACTGCCAGCCAAGCCTGAGTTCTGTGTTCAAGTCCTGCTCCACCGCTCCACCCACCCCACCTCTCCTCCCTCTCCCTGCCCTTCACTGGACCCCCAGCCTTGACTCTGCAGCCCACATCCTGTCTCACCGCCCCCCCGAGGAGTTGCTTTGCAAACCTTTGAGGCAGAATTTGTGCATAGTACATGAAAGTGTTCACTTCCAGGGTCTAGTGGTTAACATGGTGTTAGTCATTTTTTTAAAACCCAAGTTCTTTACCTAAGGTATCTGAAAGAACACAGTGGTGCCCACCTTCCCTGCCCTGTGCATTCTAGAAGGAATTATTGCAGGTGAATTTGATGACAGGGGTTGGTGGGTGCACCCACATCCAAACTGCCCTTTCTAGAAGGTCCCTTGTGGGGAAATGTCACCAAACCCACATTTTTTTTATTGAAATGGCTTCTAATAGGCTTGGAGCATTTTTCCAGACACCAGGTGCCCAGTTTCTGCCCCTAGAAAGTATGTGAGGCTGCGCAGTTGGTGTTGAAAGCCTTGCCAAGTGACGAGTGCGCCTGCGCCAAGGCTGTCAGGGCTGTGGAGACAGAGCTCACCCACACACGTTAACCTTCACAGAGGTGTGGTCTGCCCATTTTTAAAGTGCAGGAAATCGAGGCTTAGAGTCATAAAAAACAAGTAGCGAGCAGTATCTCAGCAAATAATTATGGTTCTGGGTCCACACCCAGATCTTTGAGTCCAAAGTCCTTTTCTTCTTATTTTTTAAAATATGAAAGGAAATTAAAGTGCAGAAAATTATATTTCATTATCCTCTATAAATAATGAAAACACAATCCCTGTGCCCTCCTCTGCTTTTTGTAAATAAAAGAAAATATCACAGGTAAAGACGAGGGCCGTTCTGTTTTACTTCTGCCCAGTTCTGCTCCTCTCCTTCTTCTACCCCACGCTTCTACCACAGAGATGTGGATCTAATATTAGTACGAAGCCTAGTGTGTGTTTAAAAATTTACACAAATTTTAGTTTATGATTTAGATAATAAGTAGTATTGTCGATATTTTGCAACTTGTCTTTTTTCCTAGTTTAATGTTATTACACGCAGATCTAATTTTTTCATTCCAGTAGCTAATATACTTTTATTTGGATATATTGCAATCCGTCTGTCCTGTTGATACACATGTAGTTAATTTCAAAGTTTTATTCTCCCACAGAGGGAAACGTCTCCACGCGTCCTTCTCTAGGAAGCGCACGTAGAAGGGGGCGCCGCCAGGGGGCGGAGTGACGCAGTGTCAGCGTCGCCTGACCCTTCGGTGGTTTTCCACAGTGCATAGCACTGCCCCAGTCGCTTAATACGGCAGGGGTTTCCAGACTCTCATCACCACGCGGCCCCGTGTGGACTATGGTCTTAGTCAGTTATGAAATCGCATCTCATTGTTTTAAGTGTAACTTGCGTCAGCCTGATTCCTACTCATTACAAGTTGTGGAACGAATGCCTTTTCATAAGGTCATCGGCACACTCAGGCATCCCCCTTTATGAATTCGTGTTCATATTCTTTATTCATTTTATGTGAGGTTGTTTGTCTTTCCTTCTGCTGATTTGTACCTACTCTGTATTCGTATAATCATCAAAAAACATTTGGCCGACATCTCCTTCTCAGTGGTGTTGGTGGTTTATCTTATATAATTTTAAAATTTTAGTAGTTATCAATGTTTCTGTGCTGTGCTGTACTGTGTGTCTTATTTGTCATAAGCATATTTTGTGTAATAGTTTTAAAATTTTATTTTTCATCTTTAGGTCTTTAGTTACCACCTACACGTCTGCCCTCTGTGCTTCCTTTAGCTTTTCTCTGCATAACATTTACTTGTCCTTTTTGCCTGTTTATGTGGTTTGTTGTCTCTTTCCCTCCACTAGAATGTAAGCTCTAGGAGGCAGGGACTTTTGTCTGTTTATGACTGTAACTCCTAACAACTGGAATTTTTGCTGGTGTATAGTAGATGCTCAATAAATAGTTTTGGATAAAGAATAATCCATGTGGAATTTATTTTTGTGTATATTGTATGAGTAGTGATCCTTTGGAGTGGGAGGTCAGGGAACCTTGTTTCTCCAATGTCACTGCCTGCTAATTTTAACCTTTGCCAACATGGTGTTCTGTTCCCTGTTGTTGAGAAAGGAGATTAGGGTGTGGCAGACTGGCTGGGGAAGTAGATGTGGCCGGTTAATCACACAGTTTCAGGACACTTGCACAGAACACTTCCCAAAGCCTTGCAACATAGACATCTTGTGAGCACTCCAGCAGTTTTGGATAGGGTAGTCTAGACCCAAATCAGCCTGAGGAGGGAGAGATACATAAAAACAGCCTCAGTTGAGCTCTTCGCTACCGTATTCTTTCACAGTGTTCCACTCTCATGCTGCAAAGTATACTTCTTTTCCTACTTTTACTTGGCCGAAACTCTCTCTGCAGCGCTCTTTCTTTTCATGCCTTTAATAAATGTAAAACCTTACTACCGTTTGGGCTTGTCTTGGCCAATTCTTTGCTTGTGATCCAAAGAATCTCTGAACCTTCTCTGAAAGGAGACTGTAGCACTCCAAAACCTGGCAACAGTTCCTTTGACTGTTCTGACCTCCTGCCCCTGGGCAGTCTTTGTGAGTCTGGGTATATGTGTGTTGGATCCAGGTACAATGTATGCGAAGCTCATCTCTGCTGACCCAGGAGACGTTTAAGAAATGCCTTTTGTGGGACACTACTTCCTCCTCTCAGGACTCTCTGGCTGACATTTAGACTCATCCGCACTCTAGGCAGAATGTGGTCAGTGATGACCCTGGTGATGAGCTGTGTGTGCTGGGAATACGGAAGTGGAAACCACTGTGACTAAGTTCATAGGCTCCAAGTGAATGAAATCCATCTTTGTGTCCTGCCTTTGGATCACCTTTCTTCTCCAAGTTTCTGTTTCCTTACCAGTAACATGAGGATGCTCATAGTCCCTCCCCAGAGGTGGACGTAAGTACATATGGATAGCTTGTGTGCTAAGTGCCTGTTAGCACAGTGCCTACGGATATGAATTGATTCTGGTGTGGGCAGACTGTCTTTAGGGAGGAGGGAGGGTTCCCCAGGGTTGTGCAGGATGGGATGGATTTTTCTAGGCAGGGATCGAATGGGTGGAAAAGTCATACCAGATAAGATATAGAATAAATAAAAACAAAGACATGGAGACTAAAACATGTAGGGTGAGTTCAGGGAGCATTAATTTAGTTTGGACTGTAGGAGGGAGTGATAGGTTAATGAAGATGCTGAAAATGTAGGTGGAAAACAACTGTGGTGGGTGGAAAGCCATGCTAAGAAAATTACTGTGCTAATAATTCCTCAGTGGCTTCTCATGGCCAATCAGATCGGAGCCCAAAGTGGCGCCTCTGCATGGGTCCTATGCAAGCCAGAGGGGAGACGGCGGGAAGTTCAATATTTTAGGGCACTTGAACTTTGGGAAAATTTTTGAAAATACCATTTTTTAAAATCACCACCTTTGTGCAGTTGTGAACAGTTCTCTCCCTGGTAGGGCTGCTCAGCACCTGGCATTGTATCTTTGAAGCTGTGTCTGTGGAGGAAAGCACAGGAGTAAATCTGCCCCTTCCTTCCTTTTCCTATCCACCTGCCTCTAAATCATGGAGAAGAAAACAGTGTAGTTGAATCAGGGGCCCAGATGCTTTGCGCAAAGGGTCGTGCACCAGCCTTCCACCCAGCCTGGTCTCGTTCTTTCCTTCTGGCCTCACTGCTCACTTCCGGTCCCACTCCTCACTTCCGGCCCAGCACTACCGGGTTCCAGTGTCCTGTCAGGGTAACACGGGAATCTTGGAATAGCAGAAGGGTGTGAGCGAAGGCCTGGCCTCAGCGAGGGAGGGACTGACTTGGGCCAGGTCTCAGCCCTGCCCATGTCCAGGTGGCTGTTGAGGGGCGAAGAGGTGAGGAACGTCTTGGAACCTCAGTTTCAAAGACAAGTGGGGATGACCCCTTTGGCTATTTCTGAGCATCAAGAGCTAACTCAGCCCTCTGTTCTCCATCTGTGTCTTCCTCCCTTCTTTTCTTCCTTTTTTCTCCTTTCCTCCCCTCTTCCCTTCCTTCTTCCTCCCTCCCAGTGAGTGCACTCAGGGGCTCCACTTTATCCGTCCCTCCCTGACATTTTTATAGCCATGTCATTTTTAGGGACCCTGGAGAACCAGAGCACTTGCTATTCATTGCTTTAAAGAACAGTTGAGTTCTCTTTAATATAAGGTAGAAATCAAACCAAATTAGATTATTTTACCTCAGAAGCCAGTTTCAACCGATCTTTTTGAATAGTGCCATTCTATTATTATATATTAGTTCAAGCTTAATAGAAAAAATTGATTAAAATATGAGCCTTGTTCATATCTAGCCTGGCTGAATGCCACAAGACACATTAATTGAAAATGAATTTCCACAAATCCAATCAAGTATCGTGAAGATGAAAAATGTACCTTTTTTCCTCCGGTCCTTCATTGATTTTTCATTTCCCCCACTCAGAGCTTCATTTAGCAATTTCTCAGTTTCGTTTTGTTGTGGTCTTAATTCATTCCCCTCTCCCCCACAAATGAGGTAATGTACCCTGTCCCTCGACCTTCTTAAACTGTTCTTTCCTCCTGCATTAATGTGGGGCACATTCTGATCTGTCATATTTTTCTATGCATTATTTCCTCTTTTTAAAAAGGGAGGCTAAGCTTTGTTATTTTTATTCTTAAAGTTTTGTGGTGGCTTTTATTAAGGAGAATGCACTTTAAAAATTGAATAACTATGAAATCACAGCATTACCAGACTTCCAAAATAGAATTAAGGGGAGTGTGTGTGTGTATAATATATATATATATAATTATCTTTTTTCAGTATGATATATGGGGAAGATGCACGAACCCTATTTTGATGAGGAAAATGCAGACAGCTGCTTGCCAGATCATAGAGGGATCAGTAGGTTGGGTTGGACCACACCCCGGGCAGGGTGAAAGGGAGCAAAGGGAGCAAAGGGAGAAGCCAGGAAGCTGTGTGAGCTCAGGAAGGTTCCTTCCTGTTTTGTTCCTTCCCCACCCGTCAGCTGGATCCAGTGAGATCTCACTGGATCCTGGGGAGTTTTGAAAACAATAGTGGAGATCTCTGAGTCATTTTCTTGTGGATTTTTCAGATCTTCAAGCATGACACCATGACTGTCCCCTAAAAAGTCTCCAAGCGCTCGTAGGAAAGTACCCTACTGCTTTACATTGACCTAGCATTCATGGCCTGATGGTCTCACTTTGTTTAGGAACATTGGCTGGCAGCTGTGCGTCTCTGTGTGTTCAGCTAGTAGGGAGGTAAATTATCTTTCTTCATCAGTGCAGTTCAAAGTAGGAAGTCTTTGTAAGTGGCAGTCTACAGGAAGGTGTGGCAGAGCTGGGTGCTGGGGACAGAGGTTGGGGGACTGAGCTCATGAGCATGTGTCTGCATTTTCTGACTTGTGAGTTACGCACAGCCCCATACCCTGATCTCAAATGTATTACCTGTGCGCCTCCACATGCCTTTCCTAAAATTAAGATGCACATAAAACAAATTTCAAAGAAAAGTGAACAGCGATGGCATTAACTTACATAGTCTGTGTTTAAAAAACTGAATTCTTTCCCTTATAGTATCTTAAACAGTTTGATAACATGTGATTATCATTTTGTTGTTTGTGTATTTTTGTTAGGAGACTTTTCAAGGAGGACACACTTAAAAACATAGCCCATGTTACTTGGATTTTCCCCCCACTTTTTTGTTAGTGTACAGTGGCTGTACAGTTTAGTTAATGGTTTTACTTTGGCAGACTTGTGCATGCACATAAGGTACTTTAATCATTTCCCCCGCCACCCCTTCCACCACCCTACCCCCTAGTTTCCACATGTGTCATATATTTTGATCATATTTGTGCCCCCTGTGCTCACTCTTACAGCCTCCCCCCTGTGCTCCCTCTGCTTTTTGTCCCTTTCCTTCTGGTGGGGGGGCAGCGGGGGCCATGGCCAAGATGTGTGAGCAGGTGAGCCCACCTTCTCGGCCCAGCCTCAGGGTGTCACCTGTTTTACAGACAGCTGTGTCCTGTTATTATCATTTCCTAGCTGGTGAGAAAAACACTCCAGCTGGGCATGGTGACGTACATGTGTAATCCCAGAGCTCCGGGAAGTTGAAGCAGGAGGAGGGCAAGTTTGAGTCCAGTCTGGGCCACTTAGCAAGACCTTGTGTCAGAACAAAAAGTAAAAAGCGGTGTGGGGTAATTCCATAGTAAAATCCCTCTGGGTTTGATCTGGAACCAAAACTGCACAAAGAAAAGAAGAGAAAGGATACTCAAAGTGCAATTTCTTAACAACCCGTAACGTTTACGTGCTACACTAAACTTTATTAAGTTCTCTTTACAGCCCAGGGTGGTCAGTACTGAGTCTCCCCCATCTTGTACAACTGAGTACGCGTGGCCTGACTCTAACTGTAGCACTGCATTGCTTCCGCACATCCAACACGAAGTGAAGGTGGCCCTGCCCTATGCATTCCTAGTTTGTGCTGGGGTGGGGGGAATCCCAGAAGGTTGAGAAGCCTCCCAACTTGCAGGGTTGCATGCAATCGAAAACAGAACCTCACTAAGCTTTTGTACAAATGTGTTTTTCCTGACTGACAGCTCTGCTTGAGACAAGTTGGGAAGAATCCGTTCCAGACAGCAATCTGCCTGCAAAGCAGTTTATAAAACTGGGTGGCCCGCTAGGCTGTGCACTCTCATCAGGGTGAATTCACCTCCCCAAAGGGGTGATCTTTTATTGAAGATAATTGATAGGAGGATTCCAGGTTCCATACAGGGAAGGGATAAAGCAGTGGCCTAATGGGTTCGGAGACAAAGCCAGCCTGGCAGCTTGGATGGTGACTGAAACGGTCATGGAGGCAGGACTGGGACATGTGCCCAGGACTGGGCAGCCTAAGTGTGGGGCT